GCTGATCTAAACCTGGAAACCCTTGTTCACAAAGCCGACCCTAAGCGCCATCCTTCCTGCTCTCACCTGATGCTGCTTCCCCGCGCCGCCTCCTTGGCCCCCCTGGGCGTATTTTCTACTCCCAGTGGGGGGCCTGGGCCCCGGGCCCCCTCTTGTTTTCTGTTTTCTGTTTTTCAAAACGCCCGCCCGCCCGCCACCCCGAGGCGGCTCGGCCCCCCACAGACCCAGAGATCAAAAACGCTCGGCCGGGGGCACGAACTAGGGGGGGGGGACAAAATTTGACGCTCCTATAAGGTAAAAAAGGCGGGCGCCGGGCATGCCTCCAGAACGCAGCAAGAGCACCCCGCGATAGGCATGCGGACACGTGTTAGATCTGTACTCAGCATGGCACAGCAGAACGGCTCAGCGACCAAATGACCGCGCCCCTCCCTCGCGGCCTGAAGGGCTGCTCGACTCGCATCAGCTCGCACGCTGCGCTGAGCAGCCCGGGCGCCGTCGCTGGACCGTCTCCTGGCGGAAGTGGTGGCGCAACGCAGAGGGCACCCAAGGCGATCCCGCGAAGGCTGCCGCCTGGCAAGCTGGCAGCCAGCGCAGCCCAGCCGTCGGATGGGGCGGTGAGCACATTGATGTCGAAGCGATTGATGAGGTGCTGCGCGCCTGCCGAAAAGGGCGGAGGCGTGGGTGACAGGCGTCAGGCTGTGTCGGCACAGGACTTTTGAGCATCGCAGTCGTGGTGCACGGCGCTTGGAGGTGAGGGAGTGCTTGCGGCGATACACTGGGCGGGGATGCACGCCGGTGGCCCACGCCGCCGCCGAGCTGTCGGCGTTGAGAAGCGGCAAATTCCCGCCCGCCGGCACCGTTGCGCGCGGGTGCAGCACGGCGGTGCCCCCGAGCAGGAGGTCATCGAGGGCGAGGTGCAGCGAGCCGAGATGCAGGGAGCGCCAAGCTCCGGCGCCGCCGACTGCTGTTGGAGCGCGGTCGGCGTCCCTCCCGAAAGGACCGACAGCGGAGCTGAGCCCGAACGGCCGCGACCGTGGCAAAGCCAAAGCGAGCGCACGCCCGTAGGCGTCGGCGCGCCGGCGCAGCGCGTCGGCCGACGCCACCTCTGTCGCCGCGTCGTCGCACACTGTGCGGGCCGCAGACTCGCGTGTCGCCGCAGCGACGATCGCGACTGGCCCGGGCTGCCCTGCGCCGCCGCTCGCAGGCGCCGTGGGCAAGCCATGCCGAGGCATTGCCCGATAGCTGCCGCCCTCCTCGCTGCCAAAGGCGGGAAGCCGGTCGATCGGCAGGAGCGGCGGCGTGGTCCCGCTGGTCTCCCCCCTCGTCCAACGGCGAAAGAGGAGCGCGAGACGCCAGCGAATGTACGCACCGCGCGACGCAACCACGAGATCCGGCCGCAGCCGCGCCGTGCAATGCGCCGCGCCCCCCGCGCAGCCCACGCTTGGACCAATCACCAGCGTCGCCCCGCCGACGCGCAAAGCCGCCAGCAAAGAGACCGTGTCAGCAGCCGTCGGCGGCGGCGTCAGCAGCAGCACGCGCGACCCCTCCTCACTGCCAGCCGCAGCGAGCGTCGCGGTCAAGCGCGAGACGTGGGCGTGCAGCGCCCCGTAGCGGATGGTCTCAAACTGCGCCGCGAACAGTATGCTCGCCTCACTCCGCTGCAAGGCGACGGCCGCTGCCGCCGCTGTCGCCCCCGCCACCGTCGCCGCCGCCAACATCAGGGCCCAAGAGGCGGCGAAAACCACCATGACGGCAGCGGTGGCGGCCAGGCCGGCGGACGCAGCCGCGGCGGCAGCGACTCCGCGGCGGGGAAAGTCGTCGCGCGTGTGCACGAGCGCCGCACGCTGCGGCGCCTCGGCCGCCCACCGGGCGAGCGCCTCCGCCAGCGACGCGGAAACCACAGTCGGGGTGGCGGGCGATGCGACGGCGGAGGTGCTGGGCGGGGTGGTGACATCGCCCGTCTCAACGCGCAGCGACGGTCCACCAGTCACGCTGCGAGCGGCTTCCTCCTGCTCTCCCCCAGACGCGGCGGCGGCGGCGGCGGCGGCGGCGGCGGCGGCGGCGGCGTCAGGGGCGGCAGCGGCGGGGGCGGCGGCGGCATCGCCGGCCGCGGTGGCGGCGGCATCGAGCAGAGGGGCGAGGGGCGAACGGAGGCGGTGCTGCCGCCCTTCGCTTCCGGCGCCGAGGGCAGGCTGCGGGAGCCCAAAGTGCAGCGGCGCGGCCGCCGACGTCGGGCTGTCGAGGGGGGAAGCGCAGAGGGAGCCTGCGAGGGCGGGCGAGATGCGGAGGGGGTCAGAGGAGAGGCCGTGCCGAGCCGTGGTGTGGCGGAGGCAGTGGAGCGTCGCTACGACCCCACGAGCCGCGCGCCGTCCGGAGTGCCACCCGCGGTCGAGGCGGGCGAGGACGAGGCTGTCCAGCCGAGTGGGGACTCGTGCCTGCTCACGCACGTCGGACCCGTGAAGGGACGCACCTCACACCTCGGCCACAGCTGGGCGGCGACGCGAGCCCGCGAGGCGTGCCGGGCGTCACGCCGCGGGAGAGAGCCCTCGCCGCGGCGCGGCGCCGGTGCCGCTGCGGCGCCGTGTCGGCTGCGGCGCGAGTCGCAAAGGCGAGGAGCGCGAGAGCTGCGGCGAGGGCGGCGAGGTGGCGAGCGCCTCGGCTCGGCCATGCCTCGGCGGCGGCGGCGGCGGCGAGGAAGGCGGCGGCGAAGGCGGCCTGGGAGAAGACGGCGCGGCGCGCGCCCGGCCGGCGGATGGTGGCCGGGGGTATGGCTGCGTGCGCCGCAATCACCTGCAGGGCCGAGGAGAGGGCGGCTGGAGGAGGTGCAGACGGGAGGCGCTGTCGCGCGCCAAATAGGCGGCCACCTCCGAGAGCGTCTCCTGCGTCGAGGTGACCGGGGCGTACCCGAGCGCCTGCCGCGCGGCCGACACGTCGAGGACGGTGGTGCGGCCGATCGCGGCGACTGCGTACCGGCTCAGCTTTGGCTCGAAGTCGCGGCGAAGCAGGCGGAGCCGCTGCAGCGCGAGCACGGCGGGCTCGGAGAGGCGCGCGGCCGCGTCGGCGGAGGGGAAGGGGAGCCTCAGCCACGGGCGCGGCAGGCCGAGCTCGTCGGTCAGGCGGCGCATCAGACCCCACAACAAGATGGGCTCGTCGTTAGTGATGTTGAAGGTTCGGCCGGCGACGGCAGCGGCGGGCGCACGCAGCGCGAGTGCGCAGGCGTGCGAGACGTTTCGGACCTGCGGCGGGGTGGGGAGTGGGGGTGTGTGTGGGCCGGGCGGGGTGTGTGTGGCGAGGGGGAGGGGGGAGATCTCTCGCCGAGGTGAGGTCGACCACCGCGTGCGGGTCGATGACCTGGGACGGCAGGGCCGCACGGGTGTGAAGGCGGGAGTGTGCGTCGCACTCCTGTCCGTCTTGCGGGAATGCAGTGGGTGCGGCTTGAGTGCGGCCGAGTGCGGCCGAGTGCGCGTCTCGAGGCCTCGCCAGGAGCGGAGACGTGACACCGAGAGATGTGACCGAGAGATGCGACCAGGAGACGTGACCGGCATCTAGGCGAAGTGACGGGGAGCCGGCCGGCCCGCAGCGAGGCGAGGAGGCGCGGGAGGAGGTGCTGGTCCCCCACGCCGAAGATGGCGCGCGGACGCAGCACCACCGTCACAAGACCGGCCGAGACCGCCGCGTCGCCTCCCGCCCCGCCTCCGCCCGCCCCGCCTCTGCCCGCCCCGCCTCCGCCCGCCGCCGCCTGCACCAGCCGCTCGGCTTGCAGCTTCGAGGCGGCGTAGCAACTCGGCTGGGCGAGGTGGCGCGGCGGCACGGCCCATTCGGGTATGCCGCCCACGCCGCACTCCTCGGCGAGCGAGCCGCGGCCGTTGGAGACGTACAGCGACGGCGTCGACACGTGCACGAACCGAGCCACGCCCGCCGCGGCGCAGCCGGCGAGCAGGTTTGCAGTCGCGTCCACGTTGGCAGCCGTGTGCGCCGCGCCGCCCCACGCCTCGGCCACCACAGGCGGCCAGGTGCCGCAGAGCGCGGCGCAGTGCACCACCGCGTGCTGGCCCGCGCACAGCCCCGCCGCCTCCTCGGGCAGCGACAGCTCCGCGCGCACAAAGCGAGCCGCGCCGACGGCGAGCAACGCGGGCGCCTTGGACTCGTCGCGGCCGGTGGCGGTCACCTCGGCGCCCGTCGCAGCCAGCAGCTGCGCCACAGCGCCGCCGAGGAAGCCGGTGGCGCCCGTCACCAGCACCCGCAGCGACGGGCCGCGCGGAAGCGCCCGGCTCAGCAGCGGAGACGGCGGCCGGTGCAACCCTCGAGCAATGGCCAGGAGCTGGCTTCGGCCCTCAGGCTCGAGCAGCGAGAGGAGCGCCACCGCCGCCTCGAGCGTGATGAACGGAGGAGGCGCCGATCCGAGACCGCTGCGCAGCGGTGCGATCAGCAGCGCCTCGGCGAGCGCTGGTGAAGAGGAGTGCACCGCCGGCAAGCCGTGGTCCGCGTCCGTGGCGGCGGCCGCGGCGCCGAGGAGCGCGGGAGGAATCGCGGAGAGCAGCGCCAGCAGCTCCTGCTGCCTTTGTTGTGGCGGCATGGGCCGGGGTGCGAGCGGTGCAGAGGATCGCCGACTAAGAACCAAGAGACAAAAGAATTTTACAAGCCTCTCGCACAACACTGGGCACAGGACTGGCGCGCACTGGCACTAACACAGGTACACCACTGGACAAAAGAATTTTACGGCCCACTCCCTCGCACGACACTAGGCACAGGACTGGCGCGCACTGGCACTAACACAGGTACACCAGTACACCACGGACAAAAGAAAAGAATCTCACGGGGCATACACGTATGCAGCGGCGGCGCTGATCGATCAAGTGGACCGGGCCCTCAGCGCGGTGGAAGGGGAGCGAGCGAGCGAGGGTGGCCGTCGAGAGCAGCCTAGCGCACACTTTGAGGAGGCTAGGATGCCGACGAAGTGATAACCCGCCCGCTGGATGGAGTGGAAGCCGAGTTGGGGCTGGGAAAGGGAGCTCTCGGACGAACTAATGATCGAAGCATACCTAAAGGCAAAATGGAGGTGTGGGGTGGAGACGGTCACGACAGCGGGGTGGGAAGAGAGCAAGAAGGGGCTCAGACCCGAGGCGTGGAGAACGACAGAGAGCCAAAAAAGAGAGTATTGGGCCCGCTCCTCTTGCTCTTCGAGACGAGGCGCCACGGCTGGAATAACAAAGGCCTCGCATGTGACTTCGCACGCAACCTAGCCAAGCAGGGGATAGCGACATGGTCGGACGTGTCAGAATGGGACACCGGGGAAGTGTTGACGTGGCGGCAAATGAAGCGAATCTCTGGCCGCCTCAGAGACAACACGACGGAACATCGCGAATACACGAGGCTGGCGGAGCAACTGCAGCGACCAGAGTGGGCGCAGCTGCGAAGGGAGTGGAAGTGGGCGGTAACACAAAAGAGCGCACACGGACAGACAACGGGATGGAGGGCGCCCGACAGGGTGCTGAAGGTGAATGAAGGCAGCAAGGAAGGCGCCGACCTGCTACGGGGGGGGCAGGGAGGAGGACGGACACGGATGGGAGTACCTCTGCGAATGGGAAGGCGAGCAGAGCGACAGTTGGGTGTGGCATGACAGCGACTCAGAAATTAACACGAGGGACACGCACAACAAGGGCGCGGACTGGCGCGGACTGAAAGAACGAGCCCTAACGAATCCAAACCCGTCTGCGCCAGAAGAATCCTGTTGGTTCTTGTTTTGTCAAAACTCTTCTGGAGAAAAAAATCTCGTTTTCCCGCCAACAATCGACAACGGACGCGTACGTACGAGCGTCGCCCGCCCCCACCCATGGCCAAGCGAAAGGGCGGGCCGGGCAGGAGCAAGCTCTCCGCTGAAGATGGCAGAGCCGTCATTGCCGCCCGCCTCCGCAAGGACATGTCGGCAATGTTCGAGCTTCCAACGGTTCCGCCGACAGTGCCGCCCGCGCCACAACCAGCCGCCTTCCGTGGGACCTTATTTGCGTACCAGCGCCGAAGCCTCGCCCGCATGCTGGAGATCGAGGGCGGCACAACCTTCACCGTCCAAATCGGGGTGCGCTCAGAGACGTTCGTGCCCAAGGGTGGCGTGGTCGCCGACACGGTCGGCATGGGCAAGACGGCTCAGCTGATCGCGCTCCTGCTGGCGCGGCCGCCGGCGCGCGACGACGGTTCAACCCTCGCCGCGCTCGTCCTCACGCCCGAGCACCTCTGCCACCAGTGGCGGTCGGAGCTCGCCAAGTTTGCGGGCGGCGCGCTCGGCGTGCAGATGGTCACAAACAAGGAGGAGATGGCGGCTCTCTCGCCTGGCGCGTGGTCGGGGCGAGGTGGCGGCACCGCGCGCGTCCTCATCGCGAGTCTTGAGCACATCTGCCGCAACTGCGACGTCTTCGACGAGCAGCTGGCGTTCGCGCACGCCCTCGCCTTCGACCGGCTCATCCTCGATGAGTGCCATGACGCCGTGCTGCTCGACGGTGGCGCGAGCATGGGCGTGCTGCTCCACCTGCAGCGGCGCGCGCGCCGCGTCTGGTGTGTCACGGGCACGCCCTTCCCGGAGGGCGACAGATCCGTCTTCGGCCTGCACCAGCTGCTCGGCGTCAACGTCAACTTCGTGCTCAGCAACTCGCCATTCCTCAAGGCCAACCGGCCGCTGCCGCCCTCCCACCCTTTCGAGCAGCTGAAGAAGCTCGTGTACCTGCGTAACACGCCCGCGTCGGTCGGCAGCGAGGTCGAGGGCTCGCGGCTCGTCGAGCAGGCGCCGCACGTGATCGAGGTGGCCACGCTCCGCTTCGCGCCCATCGAGCGCGGCTTCTACGACGAGGCAGCTCGCCGCGCCAACACGGAGCGCGGCGGCGACTCCTTCTCCGCGCGCTTCGACGCGCTGCGCCGGCTGTGCTGCCACCCAGCCGTGGCGGCCGGCTGGTCGGAGCGCCTCAGCAGCGAGGCCGAACAGCGGCGGCAGAGCGGCATGCAGCTGCTCTCGCTGGACGAGATGCGTTCGCGTATGGTCTCGTGGAAGGCGGAGGAGATTGGCCGGGCGCGCCAAGCGCTCCAGACGCACACACGCCAGGCGGCGGCGGCCTGCGCCGCGGCCAAGCTCGTGATAGAGGCGTGCCCGCGCCTCGCCGACGCCCCGGGCGCTGAGCGCGCCCGCGAGAGGCGGCCTGCGGTGCGCCTCTGGCGGTGCATCGACTACTACGGGCAGCGCGGCGCATACCACGAGGAGCGGCTGTCGGGTGCGCGCGCATGGGCGGCGTCGCTCGACGAGCAGAGCGCGCGAGCCTTTCTGCTGACGACGCACGACTGGCTCGCGACGAGCAACGAGGCGTCGATCGCAGCCTCGCGGGAAAGGATCTCGCGAGCCGAGCGCGAGCTTCGCTACTTCCAGGACGAGGTGAGTCGGCAGATTGAGGCGTGCGGCAACGAGGGCGACGAGGGAGGCGGCACCTGCGTCATCTGCATGGACGTGCCGGAGGGCGAGGTTGGGGTGCTGCCGTGCGGCCACTGCCCGGGCTGCGCCGTGTGTGTGCGCTCGTGGGTCGCCCAGGCGGCGGCTTGCCCGACCTGCCGCCGCGCTGCCACGGTGGAGCAAATCAGCTTCGTCGCGCTCGGTGCCGCCGCCGCCGCCCCCACCGCCGTCGCCGCCGCCGCCGCGACCGTCGCCTCGGCAGCGGTGCATCCGGTCGATCCGGACAAGGTGGAGCGCTGGGGCACGAAGCCGGCGGCGATCATCCAGCACCTGCAGGAGGTGCTAGGCGAGGCGGGGAGCCGCGCGATCGTCTTCTCCGCCTTCGACGAGTGCCTCGCGCGCCTCGCGATCACGTTCGCCGACGCGGGCGTGCGAGCCGTGCGGTGCGAGGGCGACGCCGCCGCGCGGCACGCGGCGATCGCAGCCTTCTCCGACGTGAGCGCGGCCAACGGCCCGCGCGTCCTCCTGCTCAGCTCGAAGCACAATGCAAGCGGGACCAACCTGCAGTGCGCCAACCACGTCCTCTTCGTCGAGCCGCCCGGCACCAACGCCACCCACGGCCTGTCTGTCGAGACGCAGGCGATCGGGCGCACGCTCCGCCTTGGGCAGACGCGGCAGGTGCGCGTCAAGTACTTCATCGTCGAGGACTCGATCGAGCAGGACATCTACGCTGCCCTGCAGCGCGTGCGCGACGCAGCATCAACCACCGCGGCGCCCCCCGCCTCGTCTGGCCCTGCAGACTCGGCTGAGGCCGCGGAGCAGCTTTCAATGGATGCCTCCACGGCTGTCGCACACGCCACCGCCGCCGTCACACCCACCGCCGCCGTCGCCGGCGCCTACTCCAACAACACCGGCCCCGGCACACCGGCCGCTGTCGAGACCTCGGCCGCCTCCTCTGCGCGCGCAGCCACTTCAGTTTCCCCGCTGTCGTCAGAGGAGGACGAGCCGGACGTCAACCTGACGCAGCAGTCGTCTCGGACAATGGAGGCGACGCTCGACAGCGATCCCGAGGTCCAAGCCGTCCTGCTGCCCTCCCTCTGCTCGTGCCTCCGCTCCGAGCTTGGGCTGCACCAGGCAGACGACGCCGCCACGCTACAGCGCGCGTGCGAGGTCGTCGGCGTCCCGCAGGCGGGCACGCCGCTCCGCCGCGCGCGGGCTTGCCTGGAGGCGCTCTGTGGAGGGGATTGGTGAGACCTTCAGTGTCCGCTGTGTCATCTGTCAAGCGTGCGCCGCTCTCTCTCAAGCTCATGATACGTGCGTCATCCCCCCGCCCTCTCTCCACGCGCCTGCTCTCTAGAGTAGTGTCAATGGCACTCTCTCGAGTCGTCTCGTGTCTTTTATTAATATTATCTCCCGCCCTCTTTTCACAGCCTCCGCTAAGAGTCGCGTCCTACGGCTTTACACGATCCGTATCTTCTAAGCGTTCTATCTATCGGACTTCGCTCGTCTCGTGTCTTATTATCTCCCGCCCTCTTTTCAGCCTCCGCTACTATCGGTCACAGCACGTCATGCAAGCCGTCGATCACCAAACACATGGCAGCAAAATACACTCCAAGACGGGACCGGGGGTACACGTGACCTAGAATCCTACATGCACCGGTACTTACTGGCCCGTCGCCGCCTTGAACTTCTCCAGCATCTCCGCCACGTCTGGGTCAGCCATCATCTCGGCAGCCGCCTCTGGGCCCGAGGACATCACCTTCTTCATCACATCCTGCATCTTCGGGTTCCGCAGCATCGCCATCAGCTCCGGGTCCTGCGTCAGCTTCATCAGGGTCTCCGGCGACATGCCTCCCGGCAGGCCACCGTCGCTCGCCACCGCCTCGGCGACAGCGTCCGGATCCACGGCTGGCTGCGGGTTGTAGGCGTTCTCCAAGTTCGCCTTGTTGAAGCTGTCGACGATGTCGGGATCGGCGAGGCCCTGCGACCTCGCGTCCGCCAGCATCCGCGCAAGCTCGTCCTTCTCCATCACGCCCTCGTACGACTGCTTGCGCAGATCGAGCTCGGCCTTGAGCTCGGAGACACGCATCCGCATGCACGCCTCGTAAGTGGCGTCCTCATCAGCTGCCGGCTCGGTGCAGAGTCGCGCGTGGAGCGAGCGCGGGCCGAAGATCGCCGCTGCATGAATGCCCGCGCACTGTCGCGGCTGCACCGTCGGGAGGAGAAAGGCACTGCTGGCGAGCAGGAGCGGAAGTGGCATATTGGCGCTAGTTGGCTGACTGCGTTCGAAAGCTGGAGCTGGCTGTCGACGCGGCACGATACTGCTCACTCGCGAGGCAAGGCGTGAAAGAAACGCGTCGGGGCATTCTCCGCGTCGACGATGAGGCAGACGAGAGCGACGCGACAGAGGAGGAAGCGACAGGAGGGAGAACGACGAGAGTGGGACGACCGCGAGGTGGCATGAAGGTTGCAGCGCGAGAATCCTCCCCTTTCTCCCCTTCAGCAGCTACAAGGTACACAGCCGGAGGCGTCAAAATAAAATAAATAATTCAACCGCCGTGATTGTGGCAGGATTGTGGCGTGTTGTCATCGTGCCAACACCTGGAGAGCACCCTGACCAGCCCAGTTGGTCCGCCTTGCCCACATCGTCATGATGCGCTCCCTGCTCGTCACCGCCTTCGCTCTCTCGGCGGACGCCCTCGACTTCGTCGCGGTGTCGCCTGGGACTGGCGCCGCATATGAGGGCTCGCTCAGCGGAAACGGCAACAGCGTCGGCTACACCGCAGCCAACGGGGACCAGTGGAACGCCTTCATCTATAACTCGAGCTACGATCAGTCCACAATCATGATCACGCCGGCGCAGGTGATTTTCACCCCACGCATCAGGCCTCAACGGCGCGTACTGGTGCAAGAACGCGTTTCTCTTGCCCCTAGGCGATGCCCACGGAGATGCCCAAGCAGGTCCGCCTCAACTACGCCTGAAACCGGGCGTGCTACGACCTGAAAGAGGACGCCACTCAGAACGTGATGTTTGCAATCGCCCATTACTCGTCGAAGCAGTTGACCAAGATCACGGATGAGAGCGGCGATCGCAAAGCTGGATACTGCGCCATCTCCGGCGACTGTGGAGAGACTGAGTGCACGCTGGCCTTCATCTCGGACATGGACCTCGCGGGCGACAGCCTGGAGAAGGGAAACGTGCAGGTTTACACGACCAAGCTCATCCGTGAGAACGCGTTGGGCGTGCCGACCTTCGCCCCGTTCACCATGATTACCAAGGCCTCATTCGATGCCGACTCTTCCTCCAAGGCGTTCGACACACACACACACACACACACACACACACACACACACACACACACACACACACACACACACACACACACACACACACACACACACACACACACACACACACACACACACACACGATGACTCTCCTCCTGACACCACCCGGTCATTCGCCGCGCGCATGCCGCAGGTCGAGGCGAGCGGCGGCGTGAACCTCGATCACACGGGCGAGCACGTGGTCTTCCGCGCCAAGGGCTCCGCCTTCTCCCCGATGGCCTCGTCCCCAAGGGGCCCGACGCGTTCCTGCACACCGTCGCCGACGGCAGCACCTTCATGATCAACCCGACTCTCGTCGACTGCGACCTCGACAGCTCGACACCGTCCAGAGCTTCCTCATCGCACAGAACCCCGATGCCGCCAACTTGAGCCCCACCACCGCGTCCTGCCCGTCCGTTGCCGGGCAGGGCGGCGTCCCGTCTGCCGCTACCATTGGAGTGGGCGCGACCGACAACCCGGTCATCTCGGGCGACGCTCGCTTCATGTCCTACACGGCCAACTACGACATCGCGGACACCCGCGGCGCACTCGAGGCGCCGCAGGCAATCACGTCGCGTCCCTTTTTTGGTGATGGGCTGTCTGCCGATTGATTGCTGATGGTGTCAGCTAAGCCTCGCGCGCCTTCGCTGGCTCATTTTTCTTTCTCTCAAAACCGCTGCGTCCGCAATAACGCGTCGGACACCCCCACACGAGAGGACACCAGACACGGGACACGCGACACGTTCGCCGCGAGACGGCCGCCACGCCGCCGCGCGCGAGAGTGCACCTCTCTCACGAGAGCTCTTTCGAGCCGTGGGGCTCCTCACGTGTCGTCTAGACGTGGAGACGCGAGAGTCGCCCCCCCTTGTGCCACAACCTCGTGTGTTTTACCTTCCCATTTCGAGTCGACTCAGAGTTCACTCTCCGCCGTGCGCCTCGATCTTCTTGGGCAGCAGCTGGCTCTGCTGGTCGCCGTGGCCCAAGTGGCCAAAGCCTCCAAAGCCCCAGCTCCAGACGCCGCCGTCGGCGGTGATGGCGAGGCTGTGGGCCGCTCGCACCGCCACGGAGACGACGCGCCGGCCAGCAAAGGCCTCGATCTTCTTCGGCAGCAGCTGATTCTGCTCGTCGCCGTGGCCCAGCCGGCCTTCGCCTCCAAAGCCCCAGCTCCCGACAGCGCCGTCGGCGGTGATGGCGAGGCTGTGCATGCCTCCAGCCGACACAGCGACAACGCGCTGGCCAGCAAAGGCCTCGACCTTCTTCGGCAGCAGCTGATTCTGCTGGTCGCCGTGGCCCAGCTTGCCATTGGATCCAAAGCCCCAGCTCCAGACGGCGCCGTCGGCGGTGATGGCGAGGCTGTGCATGCCTCCAGCCGACACAGCGACACCGCGCTGGCCAGCAAAGGCCTCGACCTTCTTCGGCAGCAGCTGGTGCTGCTGGTCGCCGTGGCCCAAGTGGCCAAAGCCTCCAAAGCCCCAGCTCCAGACGGCGCCGTCGGCGGTGATGGCGAGGCTGTGGTACTCTCCAGCCGACATAGCAACGATGCGCTGGCCAGCAAAGGCCTCGACCTTCTTCGGCAGCAGCTGGCCCTGCTCGTCGCCGTGGCCCAGCTGGCCAGAGTATCCCCAGCCCCAGCTCCAGACGGAGCCGTCGGCGGTGACGGCGAGGCTGTGCGCGGCTCCAGCCGACGCAGCGACGACACGCTGGCCAGCAAAGGCCTCGACCTTCTTCGGCTGCCACTGGGCCTGCCGGTCGCCGTGGCCCAACTGGCCCCTGCCTCCACCGCCCCAGCTCCAGGCGGCGTCAGCGGTCAGGGCGAGGCTATGCCTGCCTCCAGCCAACACGCTCACGGCGCGCTCGCCGCCCAGAAGGGGGAGGCGGGTCGGCGCGCTGAGCCGCGTCACGCCCTCGCCGTGACCGAGGAGGGCTGGCTCGCCCTCCGCTGCCGTGCCGCACGACGAGAGCCGCCCCTCGCCATCGATGAAGACGCTGTGCCGAGCGCCTGCCGCCGCCCTCGCCGGCGGGTTCGACTCGCGCAGCAACGCCGAATAGCACAGCCACCGCACGGCGCAGCTCTCGCCCTCTGGCTGCGCCGGCAGCTCGAAGCCGCGCTCTTGCGCCCACAAGCGGATGCCCTGCTCCGCGAGCGAGTGAAAGAGCAGCGAGACGGCCGCGACGTGAGCGATGTCGATGGGGCTGTCGCAGCGAGAGAGGGCGCGCTCGAGGAGCTCCCTTGGGAGATCGAGCAAGCGGACGGGCGGCGGCGTGTCTGGCGAGGGAGCGGCGGTGGAGGCGGAGGCGAGGCGGCGCGAGCGGCGGCGGGTGGACATCGCGAGAAAAGAATGCTGCTTGTACTAGCAGAGACTAGCAGTTGTACTAGCAGAGAACTCGGTCTGCACGCGAGAAAAGAATTTCCGACCGCCTCCTGAGATGACCCCTCGCGAAGAAAAAGAAAGAACCGTGGCTGTCAACAGGGCTGTCAACAGGATCAGGCAGCGGCTGTTGAAAAGAATGCGACTGTCAACAGGATCAGGCAGAGAGGACGCGACGGCGGCGGGGCCGCAACCGAAAAAGGCTAGGAGGGGAGGTCGGGCCTCGCGCCCGCCGTACAACCATCGAGAAGCAAACAGGAGAACGGACCGAGCGGGGGGGTGGACCCAACTGGCGCCGAGCAGTCGTGCGCGATACTCTGCCCTGCTCGAGTGTCTGTGGGTGGGCGAGGCGTATCGTAACGACGTGCGTACCGTCGGGTACTTATTTTAAGAGCAGGTAAACAGCAATAGATCCGGCCCTCAAGCGGCCTAATCGATACCCAGCCCTCACGGAATCGGTCCCTCGTTGTACAGCAATCGATCCTTCACAGTGCCCGTCCTGCCACCTTTGCCGAGAATCGGTCCCCCAGGTCACCTGTGGCGCGAAGCTGATGT